TCTCATAGTGGGGCTGGCCATGTGGTCCTCTCTGTGGACTGGCTGCTCTATTTGGGGTCATCGTCCTCAAGGCCTGGTGGGTGAGGATGTGCTCCAGTCTCTCCTCCTCCCCCGTCATCTGCTCCTGTGTGCTCTGTTGCTGACCATATTTACACATCACAGCAGCACGGGTTTTCCATCCCATTTCAGAGGCGAGAAGGAAGGGGCTCAGACATGTCACTCTCAGGACTCCGAGAACCTGAACCAGGTGACTTCCTAAGACCTGCCGAGGGGCCAATTCGACCCGAGCCCCACAGGCCGGGGCAACCCTGGGGGGCTGACGGCTGGAGTGCATGCCCTTCCTCTCACCCCGTGAGGGTGCAGTTGGGTTTAAGGATGGGAGCGAGCTCCCCAGTCAGCATCGGAGGGTTCACAAGCAGGCCCAGCCATTTGACTGTGGCAGGTCTAAGCCCTTGGCTCCCGTCTCTTCACTTTGGCCTACCTCACAAGCTATTAGGAGAACTCACACCCTTTGATTAGTGCCTGGCCCAATCAGTATCAGCTACGATTGGAGTGGGACCTCATTCTCCTGGAGGCCTAGCCTACCTACAAGAACCGGAGACTGATTGGTCACTGTCAGACTCTACTCCCTGCCCAGGCTTGTCCAATCTGGGTTACCTGGTTAGAGCACTGTTCTGGGCAGGGTGGGACCCCTGCCCCCAGGATAGCAAAGCTCCATCCCAGCTGCCCCAGGGCATCATCTGTTTTCAAATGCCTGCTCCCACCCCCACAACAACTCTACTACACAAGGTGTGCAATCCCCCAGTATGGCTTCAGGGTCCTGTAAGAACTTCATGAAGACTGGTGGGCAGTTCTGTTACCATCAGTCCAAAGCCTCCCTTAACTCTGAGGGGGGCCAGGGGTCTAAGGAAGGGAATCCAGTAGGAAAAGTACACCTCTGTCAGAACCAGCTGGCATCCACACAGGGCTGCTGGGGTCTCATATTGTACTACTTCCAGCACCCATTGCAGCTCAAGAAAGGAGCTGATCTTAAGATCGCAAGAACCAGGCAAAGGCCTCCCGAGGGAGAGGCGGGTCAGTCACAAGAGCACTTGGGATCAGTCCTTACTAGACCACTAGTCCTGCACAAGTTGCAGCTCCTCCTAGACTGCAAGGCACATCCAAGTCTTCTGGGGGCCTTGAGAAAAGAGACAGCTCTTCTAGCACGGTTTTCTAATCCTCGGAGGATCCAGCTGCAGGTGGTGGACTGCCCTCCTCCTAGGGTCATTGTGGGCCAGGGCACCAGCTGCTGGGGGGTTTCCCCTCACACACAGCAGCATGTGATGCAGGAGCCCCACCTCGAGGGCACCACCCTAGATAGATAGGGTGTCTGGTGTTCCGAAGCGGGGCAGTCACAGCAGGGTTGTCCGAGGGAAGCGTCTAGAAACCACCTCAGTTCCGGGGCACTGGCTAAGTGGGTGCTGGCATAGCTGCACAGTACAAGAACACTAGGCAGCCTTTAGAATGGTGTTAATGAGAATACCTCTCCATCACGGGGAGACGAGAGCCACAACGCCCTGTGCTGCCGCTGGCCTCTCTCAAGATGGCTATAATGGAACACCCTCCACCAGTGGCAGTGGGGAGGACGCACGGGAATCTAGTGCATGCTGTGCAAGCCCACCCCCAGGGCACCCAGCCTCAGCAGACTGAAGCCAAGTGACATAATGCGTGGGCTACAGCCTCGGCCCATGGCGTGAAGACGTTTCGGGTGCCGGGCACTGCTCTAGAGCTGTGCCATCTTACTTGGCAGTACTACCCACGTGATTGCTCCGACTGAGAAATTCAGTTCTTCGGCCATGAAGGCTGCATTTCCAGAGCCCAGGAGGCTAGTGTCTATGGGTCCTGGGCACTGCGGGTCTGAAGTTTAGCTCTCAAGGCCAATGCTGCCCCGCGGTGCCATTCTGTGTCCCCACCCCTGCACTGTGAATAAAGAGCTGGCCACAATGTGAACCTCTGCTCCCAGACACATGCTCCACCCCCACTGCCCTATGCACTTAGGGAAGCCAGAGGCCAGAATGACTGCGTCCAATCGAAGGCTTCCATTTGGCTGATGGGAGAGTGGGGGGCCCAAGTTGGAAGTGACCTGGCCCAACCTCACAAAGGAAGTGACAATACTGGCACTCAGGCAGTCCCTTCTCTGACTGAGATGGTCCGTCAGTGGCCTGAGATGAGCCATTCTGGCCCAGCCACCTCTTCACTGTACCCTCTGCTGAGAGCACTGCTCCACTTGTTCATGCGCTCAGCTCTTGGAGAGACATCTGGCTGGCCCCCAGGAGAGGCAGTGGGTACAGTGATACTGGACAGTGAATGTACTTCCTGCCTGCCTCAGTCTGTACCTATAAGCAGCAGGGGTCTGAAAAGTACCTGGCCTGAGACAGGTAAAAACATGTTGCCATGAGCCCCTCCCCTAGCATTTCCACAAGGCATGGGGGTGGGTGGTGGGTCTCAAGCTGCCAGGTCAGGTGCATGCAAACACAGCAGAGGTGTTAAAAAAAAAGTGGCAAAAATGCCTGAAATCTGTTTAGACCTACAGACCCCTAAACACACTTGGAAATGGAATTTAACCAGTGAGCCTGTGTGCAAAGAACTTCATGAATAAAG